TTGGTTGGTTGGTTGGTTGGTTGGTTGATTGATTGATTGTGACACCAGAAACACACCACGTGAAAAAGCAGCACGCATATATTTGCAAATTTGACCGGTGCCTATTCGAGAATTGACCAGTTGCTACGACAGATATGAGTATAACTTTGTTTGCGGCTTTGGCGTCTGTACGCAGGTTTCAGGCGGGAATTTCACATTTATAGCGTAAAAAAATAAAATGTTCTTCTTTACTCATGCAGCAAATACAACCGGCTTGCTTGGACGACGAGAAGGGGAAGAAATATAGTCGAAACACAAGGTGAGTGGCTAGTGTTTATCGCCACCATCATCATCTTCAGCTTTACCAATCGCGTACAGTGCTTATAACAGCCACAGATTCGTTTCCCAATGAGTTGCGGAGGAAGGGGTGGTTAGATACGCATTAGGCGCGGTTACTGGGCATAAGTGAGTCGTTAATCGAAACGTTCCAGCGTGGATTTCTGTGGGAGTTCAGGATAGAAGCCTGTATGATTGGATGCAAGCCAATGCACGCAGGCCACTGTGTCTTGTCTGTCACTCTCCTGTCACTCACCACTTGATCACCCCTGGCTCGTTACCACTCTCTGAGTATTCGTGGATAAACGGGCTTTCTGGGGAAGGCGGCCAAACCTAAAAATGCATCAGAGAGAATTCTCACAAACAACAGTAGCTCTCCTGAACTATCAGGCATTTAATGAGCAGTTTTCTAAAGCTTGCCATTCCTGAAAGTAACCTCAGTAACCTCTAAAACTACACCAAGATCTCAATAGGAAAGCCAGGAAGCATCCAGGCCAGTCAATCATTCCATCAGTTCAGCGAAAGCAGATGAATGATCAGGCACGCCACAGAAGCACGACCGACTATGATCAGTGCTCAGGCATTTCATGGAACCACGATCGATATTGATGGGTGTTCACTAAAATGGGCCGTATTAACTTTTGCGCTCACACGCACTCGCTTATTGCAATAAAGCTGTTGTTTTCCTTTTCGGTGAGTTCTTTTCTGGCAAGGGACGCCGAATCAATGTGGTGGTTGCTTGAGAGGAAACAATCTGGAAACTTCCGACCCTCGACATTTAAGCGGTTTAAATTAAATGTGCTTTGACACGTAGGCATACAAATTTGATTTTGACGGGATACTCACAAGCGAACCAGCTCAGTCTCTCGTTCATGATGACGAAAAACAGGTTGTGAGCTGTCGAACTGATTTCAGCAACCTTATGAGTAGTCTACTACTTGTGTAAATGAATTGACATTATTATTAATCGTGGTGAGCCATTTGTGTTTGGTTGATGCTCTGCGGGAAAAGTGCGACACGAAAATGGTAAATTTCTACAAAGTGTTTCTGAGCACTTCTCATGTCATCTGGCGGAACCTCAAAGAGCTATCACAATATGGAATAATGTAATACCCTCATTTGAATACCAATTTGGTTTTGACGAGAGACTAACGCAGAGCCCAGCTGAATCACTCATTTATGATGTTTTTAAGTAAATGAACTTGCTGAATCAGGCTTCCTCACTTTTCTGTCGGTACGATATTCTAGATATTGCTATACATTGTACGGTCAACGGAGTGCTCATAAGTTAGCTGAAAACTCTTCGACAGTTCACGAATAGTCTCTTCGACCAACTGAAAAATAGTTGGGTGCGATAGGGTAGTCATCGTTTTAGAGAGGTTTGGTAAACAGTTGATGGATTTATTGCTGGGCAACGTTAGGCTTTTCGCACAAAAGCTTCGTCAGGTCAAGTGAGTAAGTAACCAGGTTGATCGGGTTTTAAGACAGCCAGGGAACTAACCCGTGGGATTTCTTGATTGGTGCTGGGCGTCGGTCTGATGTTCCTGTTTTTTGGTTGGTGGGGATGACCAACATTTACGATTGATTGGTTAGGTGGAATTGCCATCATGTTGAAACTGGATTTTGCGGCCTTGATTATCTGGTCTAGGACACCTTAATGGAATATTCCTTTTGGGGTCGTTCATAAATTTTTCTCGCCTGTGTTCGTCGAGGTGTGCCGGGATAATTGGTTTTGGGTCGGCGGTGGGGTGAGGTGGTTAATTGAATCATCCTGTAATTGGATTTTGTACTTTTAGACCCAGACCACTTTTGGTGATAACTGGACATCGCTTTGTATCATCTCAGCTGATCTAAAAACGCTATCCGCATGCTCGTCAGTTCTGGACCCTCCATTTCTATTCACGCTGGGATGCTTGGTAATTTCCACCGTCTCGGCAATCTTAGTCCTCTTCTCGGAATATCCACTTTTTCCAAATCTATTTTGTTCCTGGTTTCCTGCGCCATCTCCGGGTCTCTGGCTATCGTTTGATATCCAACTACGTTTCTCGGTGACGTGTTAATGGATCGCTTATGCTCACCGACTCCGGTGTGCCATTCCCTTGTTCCTAGTTTCCTGCGACATTTCCGGGTCTCTGGCTATCGTTTGATATCCAACTACGTTTCTCGGTGACGTGTTAATGGATCGCTTATGCTCACCGACTCCGGTGTGCCATTCCCTGGCTGTCTGACCTATACAAACCTTCGTACAGTCGTTACATCTTATTTTGTATACACAGTTCCTAACCCCTCTGAAACGATGACTTCCCAATCGGTCCCAAACATTTTCCAATTGATTGACTACAATCCACCTTGAGGCGTCTGAATTAGGGAACGCATAACGTGACACGTGCGCGATTGGTCAGATGTACACAAGGACGATGTGAGAAATCAGCATATACTGCATTTGGATGCGCTGAAGAGTAGTTTAAGACCACACCGCTATCTTTAGGATAGTTCCATATCTGATCCGCATACAACAGGAAAATTCTTGATGACTTACCCTTCAATTCACGTAACCAGCTCTCTATAGAATTGCGGGAAAGGCAAAACGGCGGACGCAAAAAATAGAATTGCGGGAAAGGAAAAACGGCGGGTTAAATACTGTATACGAAAAAATTTTCCGCTCCAGATTTACGTGAAGTTTTTTTTTGCGAGATCCACCTCTCTGAGGACGGGAGAAAGCAGCTAAATGTAGTCGCATTGTCTAAAAGGGTTCAGGTAATGAGGTTGAATTTTGACAAATGCACTCATTTGCATATTGACTTCAGTTTCATGGGAGATTCATCCGCGACCCAGCTGAATGCCTCGTACTTGATACGGGCTCAAATGGAACATCAGGGAACTGGGCCTACTTCATGAGCCCCGCGGACATCGAAACCGGTCATGGGTTGTCAAACTTATGAGCAGTTTCCTCTATGAGTTTGGAGTCTGTTGTATGGAAATTCCGATGTTGGGAGCTCAGTTCTTCCACCGTAATTCTCGGTTCTCTGTTCCACAACATATTGTTCATTAACCTGCTTACTTACTTGACCTGACGAAGCTTTTTTGTGTCAAAAGCGGAACGTTGTTCAAGTAGAACATAAGGTTGATGGAAACTCGGGGACTGCGCCTACCTGATGAGCCAAAAGTGAAAGGGCGAAACCGGTCGTGGGCCGTCGAAAAATTTTCAGCAACCTTGTGAATAGTTTCCTTTGTGAAAATACACCGATGGTTTACCAAACCACTCGGAAGTCTCTTCAACCCGTTTTCATACTAGAATCTTGTCTCCTCTGTGTAGACTGTCAGAGGAAGAGTAATGCTTCTTCGTTAGGACGCTGATGAATGGTTTCTGATTAGATTGGATCGCTGTTGACTTTGTGGTGGGCAGACACAATACTGCTTGTCAGACATACTGCAACCTGCCGTAGTTCTTTATTCACGAACCTTTTGATCCTAGACATAGTCGTAACGCTGAGCAATGCCCACTTCTGAGACAATGGGTTCTTGATTTCTGTTCTCCACAAGAAGACTGAAATTTAATCCTACACACCTGCACACCTTTCTCCACAGGTGGATTTCATAACCAGAGAAAAATTTTTGAACTACCGCCTTTGGAAATTAATTCGAGCAATTCAAGTAATTTAGAAGACAGCAGTCGATTGATGTCACGATCAAGCCTGATTAGTGATCAGATCTCATTTATGGATGGACGGTGGGGATCAACTACAACTGAGAATGATGATTTTGCGGTTAAATCCATCAAATCGGATGAGGAAAGTGATTGGTAAGTGCTAATTTTCTGACGATTGCTTATCCACATCCGCCATGAATAATTACTCTTTCGGTGCCTACCTGCCATGCTCACAGAAGGAAGTACGGGGGCTGGGATACTCCCAGGTTGCCCAAGCCTAGACAAGGGAAGTTGAGAGGCAGAGGTCGGGTTCGAACCCTGGACCCTCTGGCCATCTCGCTCGCTCGCTCGTGAGCCGATATATTAGTTTGCTTGTTAAAAATAAATCACCGTCGCATACTGTATTTCACAGCTTACGCATACAGGTTTTCACCACGGAACTCAGTGGAAATGTTCCCTGTTTCACAAAATATTCCGTGGAAGACTGCAACTCTGCACTGCTGTCTAAGTGAGCATAAAAGAAGGTTGCTTGGATGTATAAAGCTCAGATGGTTAGAGCGCGAATTTACTGACCGAAAAGTCCGTGGTTCGAACCAGACTTCTGTCCAGGCTTGGGGAACCAGCCCTCGTGCTTACTTCGAGTGGCAAGGCAGCTAGGCACCAAAGGGGTGTTACGGGTGCATGATTGTCACGAATACAGTGCTTGTCCACGAGGAATCCTCAACGAGGATACCGTACTGTCTTCTGATGATGGTCGTTCTTCGTTTAAAATCTAACTTTCTACACCTGCAATCGTCTAAGGAATGTACATCGTTTTACAGATGATTGGTTCGTGCCTGTCTCTGATCGAAATTTTGCTTTGCTCCTATTGGTGTTCTACGTCTCAAACTAAGAAAAAATCAATAGGAGTGAGGACCTAGCGTATGTAATTTAGGGGCACTTCAAAGTGTCTAAAAACCTCCGTAATCACCTGGGCAATCTGAATGAAAGTGGCAACAAGCGTGCTTCTAATACAGATAGGCAGCTGTATCGTGCAGGCCAGAGTAGAAACCAGATCGTGGATATTGTGCGTATTGCGCAAACCGCGAGGTTCAAAACGCATGACTTGACAGAAATGCGTGAAAGAGATCACGAAGAGTTTGGGTGTTTTTGATGTTTTACGCCTTCGAGGATGGTATCCCCTTGACCCCGCCTGTGCTTCCTGGAGACGCTGCAAGGAATGGCGGCTAATTGATGTCAATGGCGTTTGTGCTGTCAGTTTTTTTCCAGATTGTCGAGCGTGTGGAGGTTTAGGCAACTCTGAATGGTTGACATAGGCCAGCATCTCCATC